TATATATATATATATATATATATATATATATATATATATATATATATATATATATATATTACACAGGATCATTTGGAACATAGTAATATAAAGAACTCGTAATTTTAGAAATTTTTTCGAGAATGTAGCGATATTAATTTTACTTGTAACATCGTTTGCGAAGCGAAATTATACGGCTCTGGTAAAGCATCGAGCGCTACGGAAGGCGTCTCTATAATATCTTGAGTTCCCATATAAATCATTCCAAAAGCTAGCGCCAAGAATCTGTACAGAAGTGATTTCTGTATATATTGTTGGGAGTATAAGAAGGTTTCGTAAATAAAGACTTGACTATTTAAGTAAATTCGCAAAAGACCGATAAAAGGGTCTTGATGAATATTTCTTTTTATGATTAAACTAGAATATATTATTTATATATTATACTGCATACCTGGAATGCGTAACAGCGAGCTCCTTTGTAGAGAGTCCCATGAATTTCAACAAAATATCTGAAGACACTTCAGAATCTGCTGAGCCTACGTTTATTAGGCCTAAAGAGATGGCAGCTAACGACAAAACTTGCATACTGTCTGTAAAAGTACAATTAATAATTTTTAATTCTGATTCACCACAACTACAATACAATAAATACAATGTTACTTCGTCTATCGGCCAATGCTGCAGAGAGGATTTGATTGACGTCTTTCCTCCTGGAACCAGCGTAAGCTAGACCCAATCCCAAGACGGCTCCGATGCGAAGAGTCTGACTACTTGAGCACACGTACTCGCTGAGAAGTGCCAATGCCGGATCGCATTCGTTACGAATCCCGCAGTTGACCAGTCCAATGGCCAGCAAGGCGCCGGATTTTACATAATCCTCATTCACATAAAGATACCTACGCAAGTGGCAACAATAAGTAAAGTAATAAGCACACAATTATCGAAAAATAGTAAATTGAGTTCATTAAGGCAAGGAACTCAATCAGTGTCTGATTGATTAAACGATACTAATTCAGATACTAACTTGTCGATGGGAACCAAGCCGCCATCAACGTCCCACAAGTGGATCAGACCCAGAGAAGCGGTAGCCGACAACATTCCGTGCTCCTGAAAGAGAAAATATGAAAACATATTTCTAATACAACGCAACGAGATAAAATAAAAATTCTACAACCAAACCTTGTTCTTGTACACCCAGCCGTCGGATATGTTCGCCATCAATTTGTCTTGGCCAAAGCCAGCATGTACAAAACCGGAAACGAAACTCGCCGCCAAGTTCATCTTCGCTGAATCGTGCTCTATTTGTCTAGGTCCCCCTATTAACCAGCTTTTGTAGATATCCTCCAGATACTTCGGCTCTAATATGTCGAGTTCTCTAGCGAGGTTTTGAAAGTGATCGTTCACGTGGCCATTGCTGAGAATCGCCTCGATGTCTTTGGCGTCATCTCCGTGATACTTCGTTCTCAAGGGTTGATCCTATTTAAAGTACTTCCTAGTTTCTTTATAGAAGAAATCAGCTTCTGTTCAATATTACCTGTCTATTCCATAATTAATCTATTTACACTACATTCTTCTATGACTAACTCATATATGTGGCAGTAAAAATGTATATTCTTCCTTAATAATTAAGAAAGAGAAATAAAACGAAATATGTGTAACTAAGAAGAGAAGATGAAACTATCCTCTGATATCATAGATTAAAGATTCAATTAGTGAATCCCATTGAATTTCAATTAACACATTCATTTTTCATACAGGAAAGTTTAATTATATATATATATATATATATATATATATATATATATATATATATATATATATA